ATCATATAAAACACCAATCCACTGATGACGTTTATTATCCACCAACTACCCCTGCTACACCCAAAACACAAAAAGAAAACAGAATTATAAAAAACCGACAAAGAATCCACAATTTGTTTGCACCCACTCCCCCACATTCCAAAATAGATGCACAAAAATTAAATTTTGTGCATCATATTTCAGAAACGTAGCAAACACATCCGAAACCCTACCGGAACACATGCAATCACTTTTTCAATTCAGAATATTCCAAAATCTTCAATTTCTCAAAAAATTAAATATAAAACATTACCTGTTTCTTCAGGCGATGTCAATGGTGTCAGACTCTTATCGCCAACTTCTTTCTCTGTCGTAGCACTCCTCTCCGTTGCCATAGCCACCAGAATTCGAATTGGATTGTACAACTCGAAGAACCCTCTTAAAATTGGAGTGTGAAGTTTGCCTCTGCGTTTCTTACTCGAAAGTAGCACCAAAATAGGAATACTCGGCGGGATTCCTTTTTGGGGCGTGCACGTCTGCACTTTTCAATGCCAAAAATACCCCTTTTCTGCTGCTTCCCTTTTTTTTAGATACATAATTTTAAACTTACCATGTGTAGCCCACCATTAATTAATAAATGATTAAACAATCACAGCCATTCATTCCTCCAAATCCAAGGGCTCTCCATCATTCTTATTTCTTTCACTAGGAGCCTTTCTCACCTGATCTCACCCATATATATATATATATATATATTGAATTTTTAAATATGCGTGAACCTTTGGTTCGACCACTTAAACCACCGGTCCGACCAAACCAGTGCCTTGACCGGTTCGGTCCCCGGTCCGGTTCTGAAAACTATGTTAATTACCACTTCGAAATTCCATTGATGAAATTTACCCGGGATTTTTTTGAAAGGATTTGAAGTTTAGGTACCACTTCGAAATTCCAGCTAAAGTTCAGGTACCATTAATGAAATTTACCCGTTAGTTGTGTGTATTAGTTTTTGAGTGGGTTTCCTTTGCCGACTCGGGGTAAGATTTAGGAAATTTTATATTTTTATTTATAATTTTATTATTAAAATTTTTATATTTATTTATTGAACTGTAATGTATATTTTGCTAATCATGCTTTATATGTATGTCCAAATTTAACGAACTTTATACCGTTGGTCACTTTCACGAGGCCTACCCAAAAGTCTAATTTTTATCTTAAATGAACAATTTTATAAATAATTCATATTTTGAGTAAATAAATGTAATATATTTTTTAATTAAAATAAAGGCTAGCTACTAAGTCGGTTTCCGGGTCGTTCCAAAACCTACCTAAATATGACTAGAATATGTAATTTATACAAAAGTATGATTTCTAATAGTTTTATTTTCTACTATATCCGTCCCTGAGTAGTTTTTCTAGTTTTGACTTTTTGCACGCAATCAGTTTCAATCTTTAACCTTTAACTAAATAAAATATATTGATTAGATAAAATAATACTACATGAATTATTATATAAAACAAATCTAATGAAATTACTTTGTATCAATATCTAATTTAAATCTTACTTAATTAGTGGTCAAGTTTATTAAATTTAGCTGTAAAAATTTAAAAGTGTCCAAATAACCCGACAAAGTCTGTAAATGGCACTGCACCCATTGGCATTATTTTAAGAAATATTTTAATTTGCACCGGGGACTGTGCCATTTTCGCTGTATTCAAAAATGGGCACTAAGTAAGTGAGAGACGAACACTAATTATCAACTTTAGCACAATTTAACTAAAAATGACAAATTATGGCAACATTTTAAGAACGTAGGAAGTATGTTGTTTTGATTTCTAATAAAAGAAAGGCAAGATCAATGAAAGTCCATAATGTATAAGTCTATCAATATATATATATATATATATATGTTTGGTTTAAGAAATTTAGATGGAAAACATCTAGCAACATTGAGTCCCATAAATTTAAGGGTCAAGTGTGGTGCACTACACCACTAACACCAACCATACCTATTAAAATTTATCGATCCATTTTGATCTTTCTATGACTAGAAAAATTAGTCGATCAAGTTCTCAAAAAAAAGGTGTGTCCAATCTCTTGCTGTGTAGTCCTAAAAGGGAAAGTACTCGAGGTTTAGAATAACGACAACTCTAACAAAAGGTCATAGCATTATTGAAAGAATCATTATTCTGAATCTAGAGTACCTCACGGACTGGATCTACTTTGCCCAATGCCAATGCACTTTAGTTTGAAATTGAAGGAAACGCCATGGTGCAGTAAATCACGGACTAATTAATTTTTCTAGTTTTGACCTTTTCTTAGTCAATCACTCTCAATATTTGACCTATAATTAGATAAAATATATTGATTAAATAGAATAAGATAAATTACTATATAAAATTAGTCTAATGAAATTATTTTTGTATCAATATTTAATTTAAATTTTATTTAATTAGCGATCAAGTTTGTTAAATTTAGCTGTAAAAATCTAAAACTAGTCAAATAACCAGTGCACAGACAAAGTCAATAAATGGCACTGCAAACATTGGCACTATTTTGCATGGGGCCAGGGGACTGCCATTCTCGCTGTATTCAACTTTGAGGAAAATCCCCAAATAGCACTAAAAGGAGGCGTGTTTCCCCAAATAGCACCATTGCTATTCCCAATCACGTTTTGTGGTGGAATAGACAATAATGCCCATTGAATACATTTGTTTAATTAAAAAACATTAAAACAAAAAAAGGAAGGAACCGCTGTACGGCGCTAGGTTTACGGAGAATCCAAACCGCAAAAGGGAAGTAACCACTTCCGGATTGCATGGAGATTGGAATTCCTTTGAGAAATTTGGGTTTTAGAGTGACACGAAGGTCATTAGGTTTGTGAAATTGGTTTCCTCCTTGCGAACGCAGAGAATTGAAAAGAGGTTTGCGGCCATGGCAGGGAGTTCAGTGAAACGCAGGGTATGTGAGGAAGAAGAAAATGACTTTGTGAGAGAGCCCCCACTGGAATTTAACAGAAGAGTGATGGTGAGGTCGAGTAATGGAACTGTAAGTCATTCGAATCTTAATTTATTTTGGTTGCGGTTTATACTTGAAAATGGCCTTTAGTTGTTTTTCCGCTAGTTCATTGACGATGATGCGTGAAATGTGTGTTAGTCATTTTCTGAGTGTGTTGCTGAGGTTTGGCGAGATGAGGCCATTTTGAGCTGTGTTTATGTTTGTTTGGGAAATACTGTTTGCTTATTGGCGTGTGGTAATGGGCTTAGTGAATGGTATTCAATATGTGGTCATTAACCTAAGGATCAGTTTGGTATTTTTACAATTTATTTTTTTTGTAATGAATTTAGGGTTGTGTTAAGGGAATTGTTGATTTGGGTGCGTAGCCTAGGTGTTTGCTTAATGTCTTCTAAGAACGTTTTGTAAGAGATTGCAATTGTTTTGTTATGTCAGACAAAATGGGATTAGTTTCTTTTGATTCTATTAAGACTCCGACACATAACGAAGGGTATTCATGTGTATACTTATGACTGTCTGTTATGTTTAGGTCGTTAAGAATTGGATTCACAGGTGGTTGGGATGAATTTCTTAGAATGAAAACTTTTTCAACTTAGTCATTGTCTGGTGTGCATTTGATAATGACCTTGGTTTATGTGCCTATTTGGACAAGAATTCTGAATTCTTTTTTTTAGTTGATTGGTGTGAGGTCTGAAGAAAGGTTTATATGGATTACAAAAACCATTATTAACCATTCTTATGGTATTGTTATGTTTATGTATTTAAGAAATAAACTAATAGGTGTTTGGGGTTAATGGCCAAGAATTTGTTTTTATAGTTTTAGTCATTTTTCTTCTGCATTAGTTAATGACCTGGGTTAACTGAGTTTACCTATGGCCGTCCAAATAAAATGGAATTAGTTGCTTTTAGTCCTATTAAGATTTCGACAGATAACGAAGGCAATCATGTGTATTCTTATGGTTGTCTTATGTTTAGGTCGTTAAGAATTGAATTCACAGATGGTTGGAATGAATTTCTATGAATGAAAAGTAATGAACTAAGTCATTGTCTGGTGTGCATTTGTTAATGACGCGGGTTTATGGATGTGTTTGGGCAAGAATTCTGTATATTTTTTGTGTAGTTTATGGGAATGAGAATAGTGTGAGGGCAGTTGAACAATTTTTTTTATGAGTTACTGAGACCATTAATGATCATTATTATGGCTATGTTATGTTTATGAATTTTAGATATGAACTTATACGTGTTTGGGGTGAATGCATAAGAATGTGTTGTTGCCGTTTTAGTCATTTGAATTGTGCATCATTTAATGACCTGGGTTATGCATGTTTTTTTTTGTGAATAAATCTCACTTTGACAGAAATATGTGGCTTTCCCCATAGAATGACATGGTTGTTTCCCCTGTTATATGTGGGTATATACTGCTTGAGTGATTGAAATTTGTTTTTCTTGAATATGTTTTTGAGATTTAATTGGAAAAGTCCTTGAGTTAGATGTGGTCATTACAGGTGTGTATTTATATGTTCTGGGAGGGAAAATGATTTTATAGTGCGCTGTGTGATTTGATCTTTTGACAACAACATGTGTGTGTTGCAGATGTATGTAAGAGTCTGTCCAGAGGATCTGCTTGTAGGGAGTATTGGGGTGAAAGTCAATCTTTACTGTAATCTAGCTGCTGGAATCACTTCTCTTAAGGATAATTTAAATGCAAAGGAACAGGAATTGTTTAGGACAACAGCTTTTGGACATTTTTTAGAGATGGGTGAGATAAAGTGGGTTAGCGGACAGTTATTAACTCTTTTAGTTCTAAACTACGTAGAGCCAGCCAATAAAGGAGGTATTAGTAACAGTATTGCATTCCACATCAGTGATAGGGTTTTAAAGATGTATAAGAGAGATTTTGGCCTAATAACTGGCCTTAAGTTTGGTGTTGAGGAAGAAGAAGATTTTTCTAAAATTTTTGATGATAATGAAATCAGCAAGAAGTACTTTAAGGGGAACATGATCATAACTCGGGATGAGCTTGAGGCAGCTTTTATGAAAATGGGAAACACCAAAAAAAGGGATGTGGAGCATGCGGTGAAGTTGGGGCTTCTTCATGTTCTTGGGAATCATATGGCAGGAAACCAGGGGGGTCCAAATTGCCTCCGGTGTACATGTATCTGGTTGATAACCTGACAAGGTTTAATGATTTCCCATGGGGTGAGCATTTGTGGAACGACTTGGTAGAAAGTGTGTCGAAAAGTTCAGTGATACTAAAGACTAGTGAAATAAATAGATTCACTTTTCCAGGGTTTTTGTTTCCTTTACAAATCTGGGCGTTCGAGACTTTCATGGATCTGGAGGGGAAAGGATTATGCAACAGGATCGAAGGTAGTGACAGAATTTGGCCAAGGGCACTTCGGTGGGAGACTGGATCCAGAGCTCGACACGTGTCGTTAGAAAGTGCTATTTTTGGTGGAGAAAAGGTAGAATAGAATGATGTTTTTTTCTTGTTTACTTGTCATTTTTGTATGTATATGTTGAATTTGAATTTGTAATTTCTTCTCACAAATTGTGCGTAATGATTTTCTAAAGCAGGTGAATTGGAAGTGTATGGTGCCGGAGAAGGCTGAATTGAGGCGCAACGACTTTAGGAAATATTTCAAGAATGTAAACCGTGCAGAAGGTGTTGATGGTGAGCTGTGTGATGCTAATTTTGGGGCAGACTGCAATAAAATGAAGGGCAAGCTGCATTGGGGTGGGGAACGTGGTGATGGCAACGAGATTGAAAACCGGAAGGAGAAAAAGACAAAGTTGAAGCTGCCAAAAAAGGATGCGAGGGGGGAATGTAATGAACATCAGAGAAAGGAAGAAGTGGTTCGGAAAGCGAAGCCAAAGACCGTTGATGACATCGGGAAACATAAAAGAATAGATGGATTGGATGAGATGCTAAGAGAGGTCTTGAAGGGAATATCAACAATAGAGAATAGTAATAAAATGTTGAGTAAGAAGATAGATGCAGTGAGTAATGATTTTAAAGAGCATCGGCGAACTGTAGAAGCATGCTTGGAAAAGGCTGGTTTACTTTTGGAAGAGAGGGGAAGAAAGGAACAGAGAGCACGTGATCGGTCAATTCCTAGTTTTGATTTAGGTCTGGATTCTGACAATAAAAATGGAGATGGAGAATGCAGTGGTGATCCAGAAGTGTATGGTGTGGTTGCAGAGTCGGATGTAGAGGATTATTACCCTCACATATCACTGAACACCGTTAATAACTGGAGGAAAGTTGTGCTACAATTGAAAGACAGGGGAAATAAGGCTTTGGGAAAGGCATGCGAAGAGTCTGAGAGAGCAGGAGACCAACGAGAAGTCCATATCAATGTTGAAAAGGGAAATGCTGCTGTGAATGAAACGGTTAGTAAGTTTTTATCGTATATGAACTGCTGTTACTGCAAGTTTAATTTTGTTTTCCTATGCGCATGTGTATGCAGGTTGCTTGTGCCCCCAATAACAACGCTGCAGAGGATGCTGGATTTAAGGACAATTTTAAGACCCCTACACGGATTTGTGAGGTTTGTTGATGATTTATGGATGTTAAGTTGAACTGAAGGATGTTAAGTTGAAGTTAACGTCAGTATGTAAACAATATTTAGTTTACTGGGTAACGAAAAGCAAGGGTGAATAGGATGAACTAAATTGTGTTGGGTTTGTAACCCGACGCAATTTTAAGGACGTTATGTTGAACTTAACGTCAGTATGTATACAATATATACAACAATGAGTTTTTATGGACATTATGCACTGCATGTATTCAACTCCAGGTCATTACAGGAGATTAAGCATTTGGTCATTATGGCATAATTAAAGGCACATGTAATTTTTTGTTTTTAGGGAGTATGTTAAAAAAAGTAGTCATTACGTAAATGGGATGGACATTATGAGTATATGTGAGAGTTTGCTGGCTTTAAGGACAATTTTGAGACCCTGTCACAGATGTGTGAGGTTTGTTGTTGATTTATTATTGTATGTTTTGTTGAACAGTGTCTTAGCATGCACATTGGTATACGTAGGCTTTGAAGAATGAGCCGCCAGAGAATTTGTTTTACCCGTTGGATTTCAATGTTTTTAGAGCTGAGCATACCAGCCCATCAATGGTATGTTTTTGGTTTCTTTTTTAGAGTAACATTGTCATTAATGAGAAGACTGGTATGCATGTTAATACATTAGTCATGTGCTGCGGAGTAGTAGATATGTTATGAGGTTTTTTTTATATGAAATGAAGGATGTACCCTCGAATGAGTTGCATGACTTGATAAAAGCAGACGAGATAGAGGTGAAGTCTTCAGATGATGATGAGGATGTGAACAAAGTTGGCAATGATGATGAGAAATGTACGCAGATGGTGGTAAGTTTGTTGACGTTTCTGGTTTTTTGGTTGAGTAGATTACATGGTAGACGTATATGGTCATTACAGTTGCAATTAAAAAGGAATGACTTAATAGGCAATAACTGTAAATGCAATAACTATGAATCACAGGTTTACGCCCCAATGAACGATGATGCTGCACCTATGGATGAAGGTGAAGCGGCAAACAGGCCAAGGAGATAATCTAAAGCTCCAAAAAGATTCACTCCCGGAGAAGATGCACTTGGAAGGGGGAATAAACGGCCGAAGAGAGACACGTGTAGGTACAGGGCGGACAGAATGGAAGAAGAATTGTTTAAAGGACCATTCAGTGAGGATCCTGAGGCAATGCCACCAAAAGAAGCATTGAAGAGAGTGGATGATGTTTTGTTTGATGGGCTGTTGAAGAATCATATAAAAGAGCGTGGTAGGAAGTATTATTCTGGGAAGGATCAGATGGATCCAATGGAGTTTAAGTCACTATATGGGTTGGAGGCGACGTTGAGTAAGAGTTGGTATTACAAGCTTTTTTTTTCATGGGCATGGCTAGATGATGAGGTATTATTTGATAAATTGTAATGATTTCCGACACAGCAATAATAGGATGAAAATCACTAACATCATCATGGATTTGCACTTTATTAAAACAGCATATGCAGGTGGTATTCTACTACTTGAGGATGAAGGGGATCGAGTTTGGGTTTCAACAGAAGTATACCACAACGGACCCGTCCTTTCTTACGCTGTTGAACTCGTTGTATCAGAGGTACCTTAAACAGGAGTTAACAATTAAAGATGCAGCGAGGAATAGCAACATGATGGGTACTATAGTTGGTGGGAAGCTAGAATTTGGACGTCCATGGGTAGAAACAGACTTTGTTTACATGCCGTTAGGCACGGAAGCACATTGGACATTGTTGGTCCTCAGTATTAGAGAGAAAATGATACGAGTTTATGACTCAAACGTTAGGAGGGGTCAATCTTTGAAACATATCCACACCCACCTTCCGTGCCTTCAAACGTTCCTACCAAAGATAATGGACCGACTTGGAGTTTATGGAGATAAGAAAGAAGAAGACTTGGGCAACATAGCATTGCGTGTGGAGGGGGTTCCAAACTGTCCTCAACAAGTGGATGGGTAAGACGTGACATTTAACGTATTGATATATAGCTTGAGACTATGGAATATGTTTAATGAGAGTGTTTATCCTTTGTTTTCTTTACAGGTCAAGCTGTGGAATATTCGTACTAAAATTCGCAGAATACCTGATGATGGGCAAGGATGTGGGGGGCATTAATGCTGTTAAAATCAATGATTACAGGAAGAAAATGACGGTGGAACTAATGAATTACGCAGCATTGGCAGGTGTTAAGAAATGAATTGTTTTGATTTATTTCTTGCTTACTAGACGAGAGTAATTGGTATTGTTTATTACGGAGTATGCTACATTTTATGAAACAGTTTTTGGGAATGACTTGTTTGTGGTAGATGTCTTTCTTTAAAAGTTGTTTGGACTTTGTTTTGTTAATTAAGTTAAAAACGATTTGTTTTATTGTTTATGGTTGGAGCATAATGATTGTAATGTTTTTATTTGAAATGACCTGTGATGTTTACATGTACTGACTAACTGATTGGAGCATAATCTCTACACTTCTGGCCTTAAGTAAAATGACCGTTGTGTGCTTTGAATGATGTTCAGAGATATGGTCATTTCCAAAAGACTACCCAGAAACACGAAGTCAGTATGTATTATTTAGCTGAACAGATTGTCATATTTAGCTGAGGTCGTTTCGGCATGACTACATGTATAGACTGACATAATGACTGAGTGTTTAAGATTCCTTTGAGTTTGGAAAGAAGTCAGTATGGTTAGATAAGTTCTAAACGCTCTTCGTGCCCGTATATGAAGACGTTATAAATGCATTTTGTTAAAAATGAACAGAATGAAAATAAAAAGGAAGTGAGCATGATTCAATGATTAAATCCTTGAATTTTGACCGTAAATTCAATGAGCTTTTTTGTTGTGTTGCACACAAGTGAGTCTAAGTTTGAGATGGCGTGTTAGTTGTTAGAAATATATTTTCTCAAAAACAGTGCTGGTATAAAATAAGTGCATGTTTAAGGTCATTGTGTATGATGATTTATTGTTATGTCGAAGAGGTAGTGATTTCGCTGTCGTAGTATAATGATGCTATATAAGGTTAGTATAATATATTTCAAAGTGTAACGGCATTTCAGAAAGATAAAAATGTTTTTAAACAATGATGAGTAAAAAAAGGTTTTTTAACGTACATAGTCACGTACTAAAAAACAATAGTGTTTGCTGAGGACAAATATAAAAAATGATAGTAACCAAAAGATTAGTGGTAATTCAAAGGAAGTGGGTTTGTACATGTCTTCCTGTTATGCCCAGACGATTTACATCGTGAACACGACTGGTTTTTTCGGGATTCACCTTTAGATGGGATTCGACGTTTCTTAGGCCGTCCAGGCGGACGTTTGGAACATGCTGGGGGGCTGCAAATCACCGAATGGACATCCTCTGGCAAAACCCAAGAATCTTTAGATGGAATTGGGTGAACAACACCACTGTATGCACCTCTCCATGCATTTGTCGTATGGTAAGGGGAAACATAATCATAGCATGACAAGCCCGGTCTTTGACGTGTCACAGCAACCGCATGAACGCACACAAAATTGTCTAATTGGAACTCACCACAAGTGCATGTCCGGTCTTTGAAGTTGACAACAAAAGATCTCCCATCAATTTCAATGACGAGAAACTCAAAGTTAGAGGCTGGCCGGACCTGCATATATGTTACGGCATAAAGTTATAAACTTATACTTGAACTTGTAGAAAGTAGAAAAAAAATGTTAAAATGCGAACCTCCATAACGGCTGAGGAAGCGTGAAGGGCATTAAGCTTGGACTCATAGTGCTTTGATAAAGTGGATGATGTGGAATTTGCCAGCTCCCGACGTTCATGGAACCACCTTTGCATCCTTCCTAACAAAAAATCTACTACCCTTGCAATAGGATACTCACGTGGAACTGCGTCGACACTGTTCATGGACTCTGCTAGATTCGAAGTCATTATGGAGTAACGATTGGTTGAAAATGACCTAGCCCATTTGGCAAAGCCAATTTCATCCAAATATGGTATAATGCGGGGATCATCTTGCTCTAGGTATTGCAAATACCGATAGCATTCCGCTTTGGATGCAGCACGTGCAGCACCATAAAACTTCCAAGACAAAGATTTTTGAGAGCCACGAAATTTGTGTTTTATGCTGCCAAAAATATGAAAAATGCAATGCCCATGACTAACACCGGGGAATACGATGTTCACCGCGCTCAATATACCTTCATGCCGATCGGATATAACATACTGAACAGGACGATAATCAAGGGCTTCCTTGACCTTCGATAGAAACCAGCACCAATTCACTGTATTTTCTTTATCACAAAATCCAAACGCTAAAGGGAAAATCTGGTTATTACCGTCACGGGTGACTGCACTTAGTAGAGTTCCCTTGTAGTAGGATTTCATAAACGAACCATCAATAATTAGCACCGGAACACAGTGTTGCCACCCGTCCCTCCATGGAGACAGTGAAATAAAGAAATTTTTGAAAAGATTTCTCGGGGTCATTGAGAGCTGAATAAATGAACCCGGGTTAGCCTTATTAAGCATAAAGGACAAGGACGGCAATGATGCATAAGATTCCTCCGGAGTCCCAAAACAGAGTTGGAGAGCCTTTTCTTTTGCAAACCACGCCTTTTTATAGGTCATATAAATCCCATGCTCCCTTTGCATGTCTGCCATAATTGATTTGGGCGGGTAAGGCTTCTTTGTTGCATCATGAAATTGATGTTTAACCAGATCTGCGACAACATCGTACGTGGCTTGTCTTGTTTTCCCTTGACGTGCATCTATAGGGCATTGATGCTCGTGGTTGTACCTGGAAAAGGAAATGTGTGGATGAATAGGATGAACTTAACGTCAGTATGCAAACGATATTTACATCAATGAATTTATATGGACATTATGCACTGCATGTATTTAACTCAAGTCAGTACAGGGGATTAAGCAATATGTCATTATGGCATAAATAAAGGCACATGTAATTTAAATTATTTAGAGAGTATGTTAAAATAAGTAGTCATTACGTAAATGGGATGGACATTATGAGCATATGTGAAATTTAGGAAAAATATATTTGATAATGTAAGGTCACTATGCACTGTACGTATTGAGACCGAAGTGACCGCACTATAGCTAAAATGAGGTCAGTATGGAATGAATAAAAGAAACAGCTTATATAAGGACATTATGAGTGTTTAGAAAGTAGGATAGGTATGCATAAGAAAGTATGAAAATTATATGTAAATAGATAAGGACATTATGCATGACAAAAATTCAAATCCAAGTCAGTAACGTTAAATAAGCATTAGGGGTTCGAGATTTAAAATAAAGACAACTGTTATACAAGCATAAGGACATTACGTTCAAGGCGTTATGTAGTCAATATGTATTACATGCATATTAAACATAGCAAAAAATGACCACTGCGCAGAAGTATGTAAACATTATATGTCTGGAATATAATTTTAAAAGACGAACCTGCGAACTTGAAAAATGTCCACTTTGTTATCCAAACGCACAGCCCGCACAGCCCAGCTACATCTTTTGTAATCCATGCATACAACATGCAGGAAACTCCTGTTCGATCTTTTTGTCCTGAACTGAAAGTAGTTGGCTATCGCCAATCTCTTAAGATGGAAAAGAAGATCCTTCTTACTCTCATAAATTGCATTCACCGCAATCGTAGTCGGATCAAACCGGGATAGAACCTTCAAATCCCTTAACATGGACATTTCCTGCGCAGACATGGGGTACTGTGTGACATTGAACTTTCGTTGGAAAGCATCAAATTGTTCTCCACCAGCGATTCCTCAGAGCATGTGTGAAATAAAGGAGATGTCCCAGAGAGTACGAGACGCTGATTGTTGTGATTACTAATCGTGCTACTTTGAGGCATTCCTAGGACATCACCACCGTGTGCGTTTGAATGGCCGGAAAGAGATGTGTCCCCATCAGAAAAATCGTTCACGTCTGACTCGGAATCAGATGGGGAATCAGGCCTAGACCATAACTCAACGCACAAGGGATAATCACGAACATTGCTATGATTCAGTTTCAATCGAATGTAAGAATCAAGGGTAGAGTCATCATGAACAAAGGTACGCGGCTGTGTAGAATTGGTCGTGTATGACAATATAAATTCTGAATTTTCAGCATATGACGGAACTGTGAATCGGATTAATTGGAGAAGAGCATCATACGTAGACCCCCAGTAAACATCAATTTCGTAGAACCCCTTACACTTGAATTCCAACGTATCAGACCATACACCATCAAAATTCAGGAGAACACGAACATACCTTCCCTGTGGGTTCAACGTCTGAGAAACTGATTGCAGTAAAGAAGAGAACATATCTTCGTTCAGTCGATGAAAGCGGTGGGAAGGGGTACGAAAAATTGGAAAAAGAATAGAACCGCTATGTAGAAGATGACGGAAGTGCGGCTAGGGCAGAAGATGACAGACATGCGTATAATGGGTTGTGGGGTTTTACTTCCTAATTTTTAGGAGATAAACATGGGTGATTGAGTTTTTTACATGGAAATAAAGACTAAAAAAAGGGGATGGGACTGACGAGAAGGACAAAGAGGTCCGACTACATAAAATAAAGTGCCATTTAGGGATAAAAAAGATGTTCGTGCTATACACGGAAGTTGCCTATGTTTGAGTGCTATATGGAGCAAAAATTTCATTCAACTTTAGCAAAGGGACAAAAGCATGCATTTACGGAGTATATTTTGGGCACGACAAGACATTGTACCGCCGGAGATGATGATGATCCTTAACACGCAAACTCCACTGCACTAATAATGGCCGCCCCAATTTCTTCCCACTTTAAATTATTCTGTGTTTCATCTCCTCCTCTATCTTCTTTTCATCACCTTCTTCTTTTTCTTCTTAAAAGTAAAGAAAAGAAGTACTCCGTATATATTGATCTACAAATGGCGATCAGGAAAGTCTTGGGCGGACCGGGGCAAAAGAGCGGGATAATACTAAGGACTCTGCAGGGTCTACTTTCACTGGTTTCCTTGGTGGCTCTTATTGCAAGACCTTCTAAATTCATTGGTATTCCGGCTCTGTGGTATTATTGCTTCTCATCTGGTCTCAAGTTTATTTACTTCATGTCCCGTAACTTTAAACAAATTTGTTTATTTTTTGTTGGGGGGATTTTTCACCAATGTCATGTTCATTTTTTCTTAGCTACTTAGCAATGTCACAAGCTGTCCAAACCATATGGAGCTTCCTTGTGGTGTGCATGAATTACAAATCTGCGGTGCACGGGACGAAAATACACTCCCGGCTTCGCGTGAGGTTCACTGCATTTTTCGACTCGATAACTTCAAAAATCAAAATACTTTGTCTAATTTTTATTATGTTAATTTTTTGTTTAAAAAAAATTTGAAGTGTGTTAGCCCTTTGTCTTTTGCATCTAAAAGGCAGCGGCAACAGTAGTGCATTGGGTGGTGAAGACATCATCAGTTTGTGAGAGACTCAGGGCTCCTTGCAAAATGTACATATTTCCAATTGTCACCGCATATTTTTCTTGGTCTTTGCAAGCTTTTTTTATCTTTGGCAACCATTTGGCTTGCAGCATCACTATAAACTCATCATTTCCCCTTCAGTAAGTGTCTCAATCGTCCTAGTGTTAGTTTTGTTGCTTTTGAAAAAAATAAGGATGAATTCGAGGGTCCCTCAGACCCGACCTGGTGGTCATTGTTTATATATTTTAGTGCAATTAGAAAAACTATGCGACCAATGGTATCCTAATAAAAAAGAAGTTTGGTGATGCGTAGTGCATACTTCGTTCGTTGAGTTTGTTAGGATTAAAAATTCCATTTTAATGGATGTTCCAAGGGACAAAAGCATTCGTTTATGGAGTATATTTTTTGCACGACCAGACATTCTACCACTGGAGATGATGATCGTCCTTAACAGGCAAACTCCACTGCACTAATTAATAATGGCCGCCCCACTTTCTTCCCACTAGCTTTAAATTCAGCTGTGTTTCATCTCCTCCTTTATCTTCTTCTTCATCACCTTCTTTTTTTTCTTCTTAAAAGTCAAGAAAAGAAGTACTCCGTATATATTGATCTGCAAATGTTGATGAGGAAAGTCTTGGGCGGGCCGAGGCAAAAGAGCGGGATAATACTAAGGACTCTGCAGGGTCTACTTTCCCTGGTTTCTTTGGTGGTTCTTAGTTCAAGACCTTCTAAATTCATTGATATTTCAGCTCTGTGGTATTATTGCTTCTAATGTGGTCTTAAATTTAATTAATTCATGTCTCTTAAGTTTAACAAATTTGTTTTTTTGTTGGGGGGATTTTTCACCAATGTCATGTTCATTTTTCTTAGCTACTTAGCAGTGTTACAAACTGTCCAAATCATATGGAGCTTCCTTGTGGTGTGCATGGATTACAAGTCTGCGGTGCACGGGATGAAAATACCCTCCCGGCTTCGAGTGAGGTTCACTGCGTTTTTCAACGCGGTAAGTTCAAAACTCAAAATACTTTATCTATTTTCCATTATGTTAATTTTTTGTTTGAAATTTTTTTGTGCACCGTGTTGGCCCTTTGTCTTTTGCATCTGCAACGTTATTGGCAGCGATAGTGCATTGGGTGTTGGAGACATCATCAGTTTGCGAGAGACTCTGGGCTCCATGCAAAATGTACATATTTGCAGTTGTCACTGCATATTTTTCTTGGTCTTTGCAAGCTTTTTTATCTTTGGTAACCGTTTGGGTTGCAACATCACTTAAAACTCATCATTTCCCTTTTTGTAAGTGTCACAGTCGTCCTAGTGTTTGCTTTGTTGCTTTTGAAAAAAAATGATGAATTCAAGGGTCCCTCAGACCCGACCTGATAGTCACTGTTTATATATTTTAGTCTAATTAGAAAAATTATGCGACCAATGGTATCCTAATAAAAAAAGTTTTGTGATGCATAGTACACACTTCGTTTGTTCAGTGTGTTAGGATAAAAAATCCTGCTTTAATGGAGGTTCCAAGGGACAAAAGCATGCATTTACGGAGTATATTTTTGGCACGGCCGGACATTGTACTGTCGAAGATGATGATCGTCCTAAACAGGCAAACTCCACTGCACTAATTAATAATGGCCGCCCCACTTTCTTCCCACTAGCTTTAAATTTAGCTGTGTTTCATCTCCTCCTCTATCTTTTTTTTTCATCACCTTATTCTTTTTCTTCTTAAGAAAAGAAGTACTTCGTATATATTGATATCCAAATGTAGACGAGGAAAGTCTTGGGCGGACCGGGGCAAAAGAGCGGGATAATACTGAGGACTCTACAGGGTCTACTTTCCCTTGTTTCCTTGGTGGCTCTTTTTTCAAGACCTTCTAAATTCATTGGTATTTCAGCTCTGTGGTATTATTGCTTCTGATTTGGTCTCAAATTTATTTACTTCATGTCTCTTATGTTTACACAAATTTGTTTTTTTTTGTTGGGGGGATTTTTCACCAATGTCATGTTCATTTTTTCTTAGCTACTTAGAAGTGTCACAAGTTGTCTAAATCATATCGAGCTTCTTTGTGGTGTGCATGGATTACAAGTCTGCAGTGCACGGGACGAAAATACCCTCCCGGCTTCGCGTGAGGTTCACTGCATTTTTCAACTAGGTAAGTTCAAAACTCAAAATACTTTGTCTAATTTTTATTATGTTAATTTTTTGTTTGAAATTTTTTTTGTGCACCGTGTTGGCCCTTTGTCTTTTGCATCTACAATGGCATCGGCAGCGATAGTGCATTGGGTGTTGGAGACATCATCAGTTTGCAAGAGACTCTGGGCTCCATGCAAAATGTACATATTTGCAGTTGTCACTGCATATTTTTTTTGTCTTTGCAAACTTTTTTATCTTTGGTAACCGTTTGGGTTGCAACATCACTTAAAACTCATCATTTCCCCTTTTGTAAGTGTCACAGTCGTCTTAGTGTTTGCTTTGATGCTTTTGAAAAAAAATGATGAATTCAAGGGTCCCTCAGACCCGACCTGATGGTCACTGTTTATATATTTTAGTCTAATTAGAAAAATTATGCGACCAATGGTATCCTAATAAAAAAAAGTTTTGTGATGCATAGTACACACTTCGTTTGTTCAGTGTGTTAGGATTAAAAATCCTGTTTTAATGGAGGTTCCAAGGGACAAAAGCATGCATTTACGGAGTATATTTTCGGCACGGCCGGACATTGTACCGTCGAAGATGATGATCGTCCTAAACAGGCAAACTCCACTGCACTAATTAATAATGGCCGCCCCACTTTCTTTCCACTAGCTTTAAATTTAGCTGTGTTTCATCTCCTCCTCTATCTTCTACTTCATCACCTTCTTCTTTTTCTTCTTAAGAGTCAAGAAAAGAAGTACTTCGTATATATTGATCTGCAAATGTCGACGAGGAAAGTCTTGGGCGGACCGGGGCAAAAGAGCGGGATAACTAGGATTCTGCAGGGTCTAGTTTCCCTGGTTTCTTTGGTGGTTCTTAGTTCAAGACCTTCTAAAATCATTGGTATTTCAGCTCTGTGGTATTATTGCTTTTGATCTTGTCTCAAATTTAATTATTTCGTGTCTCATAGATTTACAGAAATTTGTTTTTTTGTTGGGGGATTTTCACCAATGTAATGTTCATTTTTTCTTAGCTACTTAGCAGTGTCACAAGCTGTCTAAATCATATGGAACTTCTTTGTGGTGTGCATGAATTACAAGTCTGCGGTGCACGTGACAAAAATACCCTCCCGGCTTCGCTTGAGGTTCACTGCATTTTTCGACTCGGTAAGTTCAAAACTCAAAATACTTTGTCTAATTTTCATTATGTTAATTTTTTGTTTGAATTTTTTTGCAGTGTGTTGGCCCTTTGTCTTTTGCATCTGCAACGACATCGGCAGCAATAGTGCATTGGGTGTTGGAGACATCATCAGTTTGCAAGAGGTTCTGGGCTCCATGCAAAATGTACATATTTGCAATTGTCACTGCATATTTTTCTTGGTCTTTGCAAGCTTTTTTATCTTTGGTAACGATTTGGGTTGCAACATCACTTTAAACTCATCATTTCCCCTTTTGTAAGTGTCACAATCATCCTAGTGTTTTCTTCGTTATTTTGAAAAAAATAATGATGAATTTGAGGGTCCCTCAGAACTGACGTGTTGGTCACTGTTTAGATATTTTAGTGTAATAAAAAAAACTATGCGACCAATGATATCCTAATAAAAAAAGTTTTGTGATGCGCAGTGCACACTTCATTTGTTGAGTTTGTTAGAATTAAATATCATGTTTTAATGGAGGTTCCAAGGGACAAAAGCATGCATTTACGGAGTGTATTTTTGGCACGGCTGGACATTGAACCGCCGGAGATGATGATCGTCCTTAACAAGCAAACTCCACTGCACTAATTAATAATGGTCACCCTACTTTCTTCCCACTAGCTTTAAATTCAGTTGTGTTTCATCTCCTCCTCTATCTTCTTCTTCATCACCTTCTTCTTTTTCTTCTTAAAAGTCAAGAAAAGAAGTACTCCGTATATATTGATGTGCAAATGGCGATGAGGAAAGTCTTGGGCAGACCGGGGCAAAAGAGCGGGATAATATTGATGACTTAGCAGGGTCTACTTTCTCTTGTTTCCTTTGTGGTTCTTATTTCAAGACCTTCTAAATTCATTGGTATTTCAGCTCTGTGGTATTATTGCTTCTGATCTGGTCTCAAATTTAATTACTTCATGTCTCTTAAGTTTAAACAATTTTTTTTGCTTTGTCGTACATGCCTTGTCTCAGTTCATGCAAGCTCTACGTTTGGATCATTGGTTTGCTGCCCTACTTTTTATTGAGGTCGTGAATACGTATTTCAAAACCCAAACATATATTTTTATTTTTTAAAAGTAATTAAAAATAATTTTATATTTGTTCATTTTCTTTTTTAAGAAATTTCCGAAGAAGATGAAAGTAGTGTATGCATATTCGATGGATTAGTTCTTTATGTTGCATTTTCCTTTTATGGATGGATTGATTCTCTGCCACCTAAGCTTTCCATCACACAATTAGTTCTTTAAGAAGGCGACACATCAGCTCCGCCACATGTCGCACTATAGCTCCGCCAAATGTCACATACATACATACATACATACTACCTCTGTTACAGTGTATTCGTCTAGCTTGACTTTTTCAAAAAAAATTGAAAAAACTTTGGAGTTGAATTAAATGAAATTTGTAATTCATGTGTATAAAAATGCTTTCGGTAGATTTATCTTGTTCAAAACTTTAAAAATTTTGTACTAACATATAATAAAAATTGAGAAAAAATAATAATTAAACTTCATTCAATTTAATTCAAAAAATTAAATTGGACAAGTACATTAGAATAGTGGGAGTATCTATACATACTTCAAGATATTGATAGTCCAAATATTACATTGAAAATCATGAAAAATCGTCTTTGAAGACTTAAAAGGAACAGATGAAGTATAAAACAAAGTCATATTTGAAATTTTGAAGACTTGTTCTTTTCAAAACAAAGACATATACGGAGTATATGAACAAAAAGTTATTTTTCGCTGCAAATTAAAATCAACTAAATTTGAAAAAGTAACCGTAGTAGAGTCCTCAAAATCTTATAATCCCAACATCAAATTTGATTATATGCATCACGTGTATAACTGATTTCTTTGGGTACGTGCAATGAACTCAGTAGGCAATTGATTTGATACCAAATAAGTTGATTGGCTATTTACTCATTTCAATCTTCATTATAACCTTTACCCATTNTTTTCAAAACAAAGACATATACGGAGTATATGAACAAAAAGTTATTTTTCGCTGCAAATTAAAATCAACTAAATTTGAAAAAGTAACCGTAGTAGAGTCCTCAAAATCTTATAATCCCAACATCAAATTTGATTATATGCATCACGTGTATAACTGATTTCTTTGGGTACGTGCAATGAACTCAGTAGGCAATTGATTTGATACCAAATAAGTTGATTGGCTATTTACTCATTTCAATCTTCATTATAACCTTTACCCATTATAGAATTGATTGAAATGTATAAATTCATTCAAAATTTTCATTGTGCATACTCAGAAAAATCACCAATCGTTAGTTACATCAACAAACATAAAAGAAATACACATACAAAGATTCGTTATCATGGCCGCTATTAACTTCAAATATTTACTTATACTGTGCCTCATAATTTCAACTTTCTTTAGCTCCTCCGAATGTGAGTATTAATGCTAGCTAGCTCTCTTATATACTTCCCCGGCCCCTTCCCATGTCAAAGACAGAAAAAGATGCTCCTTTAAAATGTACAATTTTGATAATATTTTCTAGGATGCATCTTTTTTTTTGTCTTTCAATATTATCTATTTTTAAGGCACATCTTTCTTGCTTTTGGGCTCATATATTGTGTTCTCTTATGTCAAGAAAAACAAATATCTAATGCATATGATTTATTTATTTATTTTTTAATTGTACATTTAATTATAAGCAGGTAGGGTTCCAACAAGTGAAGTGAAAAGAATGAGGTTTCCTTCTTTCTGTACGGAGAAAAAGTGTACCGATGGAACACAGTGTTGGTGCTGCATTCTGCATGGGTGTTGGGATTCTGAAGAAATTTGCAAACAACATTGCCCCGGCGGCACAATAAATTAATTAATAATTTGAATTATTATTTATTATTATTAGTTATTTGTTAATAATTGGTGTCCCAATATAAAAGTGGATTTTGCTACCATTCTTGCTTTCTGATAGTCTCTTTTAAGAGATCTATACTCGTGTACTTCTATCTACCTATTTGAAATTGAGACAAATAAATCTCATACTTTGTGGTATTTTAGAGTGTATGAAAAATCTTGAAAAAGTAAGGGGTAAAAGGGGTTTTTTATGGGAAAAGAGAAGTTTATTTAGGGACAAAGAAAAAACGAAAGAGGAACTTTATTTAGGGACGGAGGAAGTATTGATTTTTTGTAGGAAAAAAGAAGTTTGTTTAGGGGTATGTTTGGCGAGTAAAAAAGATAATTTCTTAATATAAAAATAAAGTTTATGTTCACTATTTATAAGGTCAAATTTTATTTACTTTGTTAGGGTTACCCTATTTTCGTTTCCTATATAATAAAAAATATTGTCATATCACGTCTAATTTTGTAGATCTTTTCACATATATAGTTTAAATTTGTAATTTTTATTTTTTAATTCCAAACCATTTTTCATATAAAATGATTTAAATGTAACTTCAGTCAAACATCGCGTAAGGGAAATTTTATTTATGGACGGATGGAGTATGCATGAATGTTGGTATTTGAGATATCCTATTTCTAAAATAGTTGTTTGGTGTTTTTTTGCATATCTCCAAACATATGCAATATATTTAAAAATGCCTTAACTCCAAAAAAAATTTACATTATTATATTCAAAACATCTTTCAGTGGCTAAATTTCGCGCCCCGGTAGACATTTTGCATCGGTTATTTAAGAATAATCTATGTAAAAGACCTTCCCAAGAAATTAGCACAAAAATGGAAAGACCTTTTGAATCGGTTATCTCAAAAAATTATCAATGCAAAAGGTATTCATTTGTAAGAACGAAGATTGTAAATTACATACGTTATTTAATCTTAGTATTGGCAAATTAAAATGCAAAAAGAGTAATATACATCAAAAAGAGAAATTGCAAGTACATGTATCACTATAAAGTCTGACTTGTTCTGTAGTATTTAATATTTCTGATTATCAAACACGGTGATCTGTACTCAGAGAGATTACACGTACACATTATCATTCCAACCTTGTCTATATATATTATCCCTTATTTTACATACTTACATACATGCATATAGATATGTATGTATAGGATAATTGCAAGGATATGATATGTAAGCCACTATATATAGAGAGTGAAACACAACAAAAAAAAGAAAAGGAAACTGAAGTGCCATATGCATGCCCATGCAGATCCTTAGCTTGCTTGTTGGCTACCTATTTTTTTGGATGTTTATTTTATTTTTGTGCCTCTAAGATCCCCCCTCCACCTCAGTAGTGGTATGACCCTGCAATAGTCGAATTTTGATTATCAATTAAATAAAAGTATATATTACGTTAATGATATTATTACTTTCATTTTCAAAATAAAAATCGATCACAAATCCTCATTTTCTTAACAACTTTCATTTTTTTGAACTACACAAATACGAGGTATACAAATATTATTATAAAATTCTACATAAATTTCAAATAATTAATTAAATTTAATTTGTGACAGTTAAAATCCGGAAATTGTAGTAACCAATAATTAAAACAAACATACCTTTCCACCAATCTCCTATATTACAATATGTCTCATCATTTATGTCATCTTCGGGCCTTCTTGGGGGCTGATAACAATTACCGACCACATATTTAGGAAAATATAATTCAATAAAGGGCACAACAAATTAATTAAATGAGACATATTTTCTTAGCTAGGATAATCTATATATTTAACCATACTATCTTGAAAAACTAATTAGGGAAAATGATTAATGATGATTTAAAGGTACGTACGGGTCTGGGTCGGACATAAATATCTTCTTGGCCACCATAGAAAATGGAGGAGTTGTATTGCCATGGATTTCTTGCCATTTGATAAGTACTGTGGGTGCTACTTTCTCCATTACCTGCAACAAGTTAATTAATTATGCACAAATTCAATTAAACTGAATTAATTATGCACAAATTCAGTTAGTTAATTGATTTGTTTAAAAAAATAATACGAATAGTCATTGAAATAATCAGCTTATATCCAACATTTGTTGCTAATGACTATATTCATAGAATCATTCACATAATCAGTCATTATATAACACTTGTTGTTAATAAGCGCATATATGGCAGCTCATACAAAAATATGTGTCATAAAGGAATAAATTATACTTGTACTATTCAAAGAAACGTACTACGGAGTACTTTTTAATCTGGAGCAAATATTTCTTCTAATCAAGACATTACCAAAAATATACTCCGTAATATACTCTCTTCATTCTTAAAAAAATTTCTTCTTTTTTTTCATTGTCCCAAAATGTCTTTCCTTGATTGTTTTTATTGAAAAGTCATTTTTGCCCATGCTAATTTTTACACTATCTATGACATCAATTTATTCACTAATAATCTACTCATTACATCTTGCTTTTATCCAAAGATTCTAAATTTAAGACTTTAAAAACCAGAGCTAAGAATTAAACCTGCCGCACGAGTTCCATTCGCCGGATGATTGCCGTTTGTAGCCGCAGAAGAAGCATAGCTCCTCACCATTCCCTAAACAACATAATATATATTAGAATAATAATTTTGAAATATCATATTTTTAAAAATCACAAGTAAAATATTACTCTGAAATAACAACAGCTCATTTAAAAGAGCACGTCTTTGGTGTTATATTATGACACCGGCCCATTTAAGGCTCGACGATATTCCGTTTGACCCCAAAGTCGTTCATCCGTACTCTCTGACCCAGTAAACACTCAGTGAGTTTGGGGCGAGAACGTAATGATTGAAGATTTTGAAAAGTCAAATATAATAAGGGTAATTTACCTAAATAAGACTAAAACATAATGACTTTCTCAGTATATGACCATATGTTTTTATTTTCCGATGTAGGACCATTGGTTATTATCTATTAGTCATTATTCAAATAAATGTCTAACATCACTTGAACATTATTTTTCTCACTCGTCATTATTAAGTCTTATTTAGGAAATAAAAAAGTTTAAGTCCTACATTGGGAAATGACTTATGTTTTAGTCCTATTCAGTGCAAATTTCACATATTAACAATGAGGAATGTATTAAATACGTACCCTAGAGCCCGGACCAAAAAGATCGTCAAAGTATGCAGCAGACTGAGCCGCAAGCTCAGCGGGATGAGGGGGCGGTGTTTGTGCTGGCGGCGAAGGTGGCGATGGCGGCGACGGTACTGGCTGCGACGGTGGTGGCGGAGTTTGGTGGGACACTGACGAATGACGGCCGTTGCTCTCAGCCCTCCTGCCGTTGCTCTCCGCCCTCCTGCCGTTGCTTCTTCCGTTCCTCCTATCCATTATAATTAGCAATTGATTAAGGATTATTATTATTATTATTAAATATTGTTGTTAAATAATTTTTTTATATTAATTGCTATATATGCTAATGTATGTAGTTTGTGTTGGTTTATGAATGGAAGGAAATTAGGGAGAGATGAATGGGTATTTATATGAAAACCCAAATGAAAAGAGAATATGGTATGGCATCATATGCTATACGATGTGGTGGTTAACATAATTAATACTAATTGTTGATAAGGATGTAACCCAAGTAGCCAACATGAAGAAGCAAAGGAACCAACGTACGTATATATTGCTTTTTTAAGGATCATCATATCTTTAAAGAAAATGACAAATCTTTAGTTTGAGATTACACGCTTGAAATATGTTAAGCACTCTTTCTCTCTTCTGAAATTAACTTTCTAATTTAACTTTTGTGATCAATTCTTTTACATTTTGGTTGCATAATTACAAAAGAAGAATACATTAAATTTTCATAGAGAGTATAAATTTATTATCAATAAATTCATTTTGAAATGTATTTAAAATATTTTTTGAATACATATTCATTTTAAAGTACTAATGGTCGAATGTTATACGGAGTATTAATTAAATACGTGAAAAATCGATAAGTTAATTTTAGATCGGAGGGAGTACTAAAGTAGCTAGTTAGTTGGTAATTATTGATTAATATAATAAGTTAAAAGACCGTACCCACCAACCAATAGATCAGATAAAATATATTTTACGAAAATATATTTTTTCTTTTCAACATGCATTCTTGTTTACTTTTTCACAATTTTTCTTGCATAATTTTAATTGTTAATATTTCTATTTTTATATTTCCTCTATCCATTTTATTTTTCTCATTTGACTTCTTATGATTGATATTTTTAAATTTTGGCTATAATTAAATTGCAAAAAAAATATATAATAACTTGTGATATGAATTAATTTTATATTATAGGTTAAATTTGAAACATAGTTCTAAAATATCAAATATTTATAACATATACGCCGAAGTATGTGTATTTGAATACATATATTAATGGTCAAAATTTTAATTTGGAGATAATGAAAAGTCAAATGTAATGAAAACAAATTGGACGAACAGAGTATTAGTATGCCGAGTATTTAAAGAAATATGGCATTTTAAAACTAAGTAGGTTATATATATATATATATATATATATATATATAGTGGTCAAAGTTTAAAAATATTTTCCAATAAAAGTCTACAGAAATAAAATTATAGGGTTGACATATCAGATCATATTTATTCATTATTAATCTATCAATCAGACGTTATTCTCACTCAAAGAGTAATGCAAATTGGCATATGGAGAAGTAACACTCACACGATAATATGATTAAAATGCCTTAAATATTATTCTCTCCGTCTTAAAACTAACTTTCTATTTAAATTAAATTCTTTCTTCTTTAAAATAATAATATAAAATAATAAAACATTATTTACCAAATTCACATTATAATTATAAGAAATCGAATCAAATGGAATTATTACCACTCCATTATAAAAAAAAATCGAATCGGATTATTACCACTCCATGTAATAATTCCCATCATTTACTATTAGTTTAAAGTATTTGTTCCAAGAATATTTCTTATTTTTGGAGTAAGGGTGTCCGAACCGCGTAGTAATTAACAGAGGCCCCCTCCCTCCCCACCACTCATCACTATCGATCGAAGTCGTCGGCAGTCCAACGGGCATATACTCTTCTCAAAAGTAGGAGTACTATGACTAGATTTTCAACTTGACAAACCATCTCTAAACAAAAAAAAAAGCCTCCTCAGACTTAATGGGACGACGTTCATTGAAAGAAGATAAATGTACTTGTAGAGACTTTATGTTTAGCATAGTTACCTTCCAGCGCAGTTGTATGAATTGAACTCGAATCTTAATTATTCTTTTGGTACTTTTTGTTTTGCCAACTGTGCAACACCCACCGATAGAAACGATTTCTAAAGAAGAATAAATGTATGTATATATAGCATGGTTTTAATTTTCCTATGAGAATCTCTAGCTTTTGTTCTGCCTAATCAACCACTTATCAACCTGCCTGCCGGTATATATCTTCAATTCGAGCTCTTTTTTGTTTGGACACTCGACTACTGTTCAAATATCTCACATACCTTAGAGGTAGATATTTGAAGAGAGAAAAAACGTATTTAAATATTGAGCTGAATTAAATAATCAATTGAATTTAATTACTTTAACATAATAATTGAGTATAAGTGTCTCTTGACCCAATCCAATAATCATTATTTCATCCTAAATTCTATTGTGGTATTGAAAAGAAGCTTTGGCTCACCTCGTTTATAAGATTCTTGTCTAAATAATGTTCATTCCTATACCTAGTGTTGAATTTAATTAACGGTACAAACCGGATTGATTACATTTTGAAAAATTTCAGGTATATTACATTTTTTTGTGATGTTATAAAGATTATCAAAGGCATTTAAAATTAATATTTTCAACGTTACTTTTACTCTCACTTGCGAAACAACAATATAAAATTAATCGTAAGTGACTACCGACTTGGTAAAAAAATTTCTTTTACATGACAATATTTTGTCTTAACTTTATTTATAATCATAACGGAATATAAAGTATTGAAAATTATATTATTTGAAACTTCAAGCATAATCTTGTATGAAATGATGCACAATTTATTTAATTTAGGCCATGTAAACGTTTTGTACGACTTTGATTTCTAATATTAAAATTATTCCAATGCTATTTTTTTGCAACTCTCTAATCATGAACATTGTACTATTACACATAAATTAGATTGTTGATCAATGTTCATCAATAACATTTATTTTTATAACTTTATTCAAATTAAAATGACTTTGTGATTTAAGATTCACGAACATTTGTTTATATATTTAAACTTGTCAAGGGACCAACTCAACCAAAAGCTCAAGCTTGTGGTTGTGGCCCAGGAACAATTATTTATATTCTAACACGCCCCCTCACGTGCAGGCGTAGTCTTTTTTCGAGCCTTGCACGTGAAACCTTAATTTTTTTTTAAATTGGGTGGCGCTGAGTTTTGAACCCGTGACCTCAGTCAACGAGGCTCTGATACCATGTCAAGGGACCAACTCAACCAAAAGCTCAAGCTTGTGGTTGTGGCCCAGGAACAATTATTTATATTCTAACAAAACTCAAATGTTATGCAATCGCTATTCATGGGCAGAGTATATATATATGATCCCGGCACCCATAATAGTTTAGATTATTAAAAAAATTGATTCATCTTCCAACATTAATATGATTCTTTTCTCTGGTATTGATTAAATTTGATTGTTGGTGTAAAATTTAAAAATAAATTTATATAATAAAAACCTACATAAAGAGTTCTACAAAACAAGAAGTGGTAAGAATAGATTATTTTGTAAAATAAGTATTAAAAAATATTGAGTGAGTCAAGTTTGATCTTGTAAATAATGTCTAAAAAGACCTATGATGAACGGAGAGTAAGTTTTTAAGTAAAATAATTTTTTTGATAAAGATAACAAGTACCTATAAAATAAATAGAGACATTAGGCGAGAAGGTGATAACATTGCAACTGGTTGCGCACTACAAAAAAAGAGGGCAATACCGACAGATCCTTAACGACAGAAACCTTATTTGTTGCTAAAAAGAGAATATTACCGACAGATAAAATTTTTTGAAAGCAAAAACTATTTGACCAACAGAAAGAGTAATATCTGTCGTTATTAGTTATAGTTTTAGCAACAAACTTTTATCTGTCGGTATTGGTTATAGTTTTAGCGACAAAACTTTATCTGTCAGTATTGTTTATAATATTAGCAACAAAAAAATTATCTGTCAGTATTGTTTATAGTATTAGCAACAAAAATTTATCTGTCGATATTGTTTATAGTTTTAGCAACAATGTTTTATCCGTCAGTATTGTTTTATCCGTATCTTAATAATTAAAAACCATAAAATTAGGCATCATTTAGAACACGAAATCGAGCCCATGGAATTAGAAATGAAAAACCTCAATTTGGATTTTGTTGTTTGGTCGCACAAAAATATATGATAATAAAAATGAATTATAAATTTAAAAGATAAAAACTATAAAATAATGATTAAAATAATTTTTTACATTGAATATTTACAAATTAAAAATTATAACTTTTAATTTCAGATTTTTAAGTTATAATTTAAAATTAAAGGGCTAAACTGAACGAATAGAATTAAGACATATGATAAAAGAACAAATTAACAAATTAAAAACGAGAGGGATGGAAACGCTAGTGGAGATATGTTGAATCATTCATATTGATATAGAATAATAAGGTAGAGATTTTTAACCATTTCCAACGTGGTTAAAAGATATGTCAGTCAACCACAAATCGAAATCAAAAATCAGGGGAGTGACTGTGAAGAAAGGACTAATAAGCAAACATATTAGCAAAATGGGGTCCAACTTATAATTTTGATAAGTTTTAATGTTGATAGAGGGCTGGATAAGGATATCATGGGGATAAAAAAGGGCCGGGGATGGGAAAGAAAGCGGTTTCGGCCACTTCTTCGATCAACGGGTTGGACGGAGGGCTCGCAATTTCGATCGGAATTGGGCACGAAGACAGACGGATCGGGGACGGACTACTTCTTCGACGCTGGGTGGTTCTCCGATTGCAACAGCAGCGGAGGACGATAGCTCGTGGTGGCAAAGCAGAGCCAAACTTGCGGCGAACCCTAGTCTTCGTCGGACAGTCATTAACGAGGGCTGATTCTGGTCCTATTTCTTCATTCTTCTTTGTTTAGTATTTCAATCCAAGATTTTCACTAATTTCTTAGATGCCAAGTGTGTTGCTCATGGAAGCTCTCCGCAATGTCCAAATTATATGTTTTTTTATTATATAAAATTACTATTTTCATATACCCTAACTTTTCATTGATGTTATAACCTGTGTTTATGTTTTCTTAAGCTGATAGCAAAAAGGGCCTTACTAGGTTGTTGTTCTTGTATAATGTATCCTATCTTTGTAATACTCGTGGAGTGACACATTATTTCGGGTGCTCTTTATCAGGCAAACCAATAATCTACCAAGTGGTGAAGGAAATGATTGAGAAGATGGGCTATAAAGTAATGAATGAGTTGGTTATTTTGG